TAAAAGATCTTCAGGTAATCTGTAACTTGGAGCGCATGCTGCATGGTTCACACATACACTCATTCAGTTGATGTACCTCTAGGTCCTCACCCAATTCACTAGCAAAGATGTTGCTGGAGACAGGACCAAAAGGAAAACCTGCAGCACCACTAGCGAACTACAAGACTGAAACAAGCAGGTCAGTAGAACAGCAGTAATAAAAGGCACAGCGTTTGATGCCAAAGAATTCTATGGACCCACACAGAGCACGAGGAACCACAGCATCGTCAGCTTCTTTCTCGGGGCTTTGGCTATTTGGGGGAACGGGGCAGGGTACTAGAGTGGCCATAAACTGAGAACAAGAATCTGCCTTACCCTGAACACTTGCTAGGTGTTAGCTTCTACACTAGGCCTTTGGGGTTTTGCTTTGTTTTTTGAGACAAGGTCTCAATATGTAGCCCAGGCTGACATCAAATTCACAGCAGTCCTCTTGCCTCAGCGTCCCAAGTGCTGGGATTAGCATGCAATACCATGCGCAGCCCTAAGCCTTAATTTAGATCTTCTCACTTGATATATGTGGAAACTATACAAGACTTCAGTGCTGGCCCTGCTATTTACTAGCAATGAATCCAAATATCCAAATTTTTAAACTCAGTAACAATGCCTCTTCACAGGGCTATTGCAAAAATTAAAAATTCAGAGCTACATTCGGATTCACTCTGTAAATAATCTGGCTCTACACAAATCATCTACACTTTCCTATTGTTTCTTCAATCTCCTGAAAATCAGATGACTCTGAGGAGCACTGAAGGTTAGAAGAATGCCAGGAGTTAAAGTCAAAACCCTGGTGATCTGTGAGACGCTGAATAGGTCCTTCAATGGGAGCAGTTACCCACAAAGGCATTTGCTGACCCGCCCCATGAAATGTTCCAAAGTGAGAACTGTTTGCTTGTGGACACACTGTCTGCTCCTTCCTAGCTGACAAGAGAAGGGAAGAAGCAGCAGATGTTCAGTGACTGGCCAGTTCCTCTAGGAACCCCCACAGTCCGTGCCATGGAACAATGGTGTTTAAACAGACAACAATCACGCCCCAGTGAACGGCAAGACGTCCCATGTGCCCCACTGCAGAAACGCTGTTTGTTAAACATGAAAGGTCGTTTGAGGAGCAACCAATGGACAACTGACTTGCGCAAACAGGAACATTTTTGAAGGAAGAAGCCATAGAAGGCAGAACTTCACTCAGTTTTGAATGATTTCTTTTCCACTACTATACATAAAGGCCGTGCGTGTGTGTGTGTGTGTGTGTGTGTGTGTGTGTGTGTGTGTGTGTGGAAACTATGAGGTCATTGTTTTCCAGAGTCCTCACTATAGGAAACAGCTGTGGGGAACTGCACAAACAGAGAACACTGCCCCATTTAGCAGCCCCTCACTGTGACGAGTGTGTAGATGGAGGCAGGAAAAATCCATCAAACCACACACTATCAACAAAACAAAGAGTCAAACGAAGAACCTGAAGCTACACAAAGGAAGATGAAAAGCCACTGAGGACAAGAACCTCCATTATTATAACTGTGTCCAAGACACTTCCACACTTACACCAGATCAGCTCCCTTCTCCCTGGGCCAGATCCTTTCTACTCGATTTACTTTGCACAGCACCTAAAAATGTAACATTTGACGAACACAGCTTTAAAAAAAAAAAAAAAAAAAAGCTTTTCTAGGGCTCTATTTCAGATGCTGTGAGACTTGTCCAAAACTGAATTGATCCACGCATCTTTAAAACCATTTCGCTCTCCCGGTCTTGAAGACTGCCGTCCATGACGCTGGTTTGGAAAACTCAATGTTCTCTTCATCCCTCTTCTTTATTCATTCCTGACACACCTACAACGCTGCCAAACACTGTCACACCCTGCTTCCTGTATACATTCTGTATATGTTCAAAAGTCAGAGGAAATGAGCAAGAGAGAAGGAAAGAGAAAGAAACTGAATCCAGCCCAATCTAAAATGGAATATATGATTTCCCTCATTCAGTGACAAGGACAATGCTACTCTGAGCTGGGCGTGGTGGCACGCGCCTATAATCCCAGCACTTGGGAAGCTGAGGCAGGAGGATTGCTGTGAGTTCGAGGCCAGCCTAGGCTACACAGGGAGATCCCATCTCAAAAAAAAAAAAAACCTATTATGAAAGGTAGCCCACGCTATTTTCAGAGAACTTGCTCATAAAGTCCTGTATCCTGACACTCCCCATTTCGCCCTTCTTCACTGAAACCTTAAAGCCCAAGAGTAATCACAGTCCTCATTTTAGGTCTGACGCAAGTTCACAACAGAACTGGCCTGCGACCAGCATATCCACATTTATGACAGGGGCTGGTGTACAAGCTGTCCTTGGTTGTATTACAGACAGCTAAGTCAGGTAGAAATATTATATGCAGGCAAAAAGGGCTTGGCCTCCCTGGGAATCAGTGCTGAAGAAGACGACACATCAAAAACTGGCTAGAGGCACACGTGAAGATTAAAGTCACAATAGCCAGATTTACACCCTTCCCTCCCGGACAATGGGGAAGCCAGCGATTACTGATATCACCCTTTTGCGATGTCCCAGATAAACAGACTATCATCTCATACAGAGTAAAGGGATGGAACTGGGGATTCAGAAGCACCCACATGTCTAGTCAACTGACCTACCGGCGCCAACCTCAGTGTATGCAGAGAGGGCAGCTTCTCACCACGGTTCCGGGAGGACCGCACGGCCACAGGCGGGAGGGTGCAGACGGACCCCTCTCACGTGCTAACTGCAAAAACGAATTTAAAAGGGATCGAGAGCCTGGACAGAAGAGAGGTAAACCGGAAACCTGTCAGGAGGCACCGAGCGGAACACCATCACTGGGTCTGGCAACAGATTCTTAAATGCGACACCGAAAGAACAGGACACAAAAGAAACAATGGGAAAAGTAAACGTCATCAAAATTAAAGTGTTTTATGCATCAAAGGACACTGTCAAGGAAGTTAAATGACAACCCACAAAAGAAGGTATGCCACCCATAAGTATGACAAAGAATTAACATCAGAATATATAAAGAAACCTTACAACTCAACTGCAAAAACCCACCTCAAAAATGGGCAAAGGACTAATAGACATTTCTTAAAAAAAAAAATACACAAATGACCAATAATCACTTAAGCAGATGCTCAGCATCACTGGGGATAAAGGAAATGTAACACAAGGAGGTACTGCACCCACTGGGACCATCTCTTTCAACGGAGAACACCGAGCACTGAGAAGGACGCAGGGAAATGGGAGCTTACATGCCCTGCTGGCCGGAACACAAGCACTGTGGTCACCGGAAGAGCGTCTAACAGCTCTTCAAGAAGTTAAACACGAATTAGCATAGGATCCAAGAGAACTGAAAACAGACCCAAGCAGGTACCGATGCCCACAGTATCAATCTTTACAACAGCCAAAACAAGGAAACAACTCAAATTGCATTAAAAGATCAAGTATATATAAACAGTGAATGGACAAACAAAATGTGATATAGCCACATGATGGAATATTACACAACCACAAAAAGGAAAGAAACTCTTACACATGAAACATGAACCTTGAAAACACTGTATCAGTAAGTGAAAAAGCCAGTGATAAAAGGGTCTTGTGTACTGTATGTATAATTTCCATGTGGTATCTAAGAATAGGCAAATTCATAGAGACAAGTGTTTGAACAGAGAACACCGGACACCAGACAGTGACCACTCAACGTGTGTACGGGTTTGGTCTGGGACGACGAGAAAGTTCT